GTTGGTCTTCTCCCTATGCTTCTGTTCCCACTTGCTCTGCAAAGCCCTGCTAAGGCAGTTGCAGAGCTGCTCTTTTAATTGCTCTGATTTTAGCTCTAGTGATCGTGCATTTTGGGCTCAGAATGCCCAAAATGACACCTCTGGAGATTGTTACCCTCAGTAGTTTGGACTGATTGTGGGGATGGGGTCAGGAAGTCGGATAGCTGGCACGGAGCTGTGTGTGGTACGGCTCAGCCAACAGCAGCTGCAGTGAGCCATGGCCGTGTAGGCTCCCCTGCGTGATGAAACATCTGCACTTGCCTCACCCTTGGCAGCCCACTCCATGAAACTGCTTTCCATGAGGATCACTGTGGTGTTTTCCTCGCTGCTGCCACTTGATGAGCGCCGTGCTCACAGGCACAGCCTCGCTCTCCGTGACAGGGAGCGGCCGTCATTTTGTCACAGCAAAATCAAACCTGACAACACAGACAAGCCATAATGTCGTGCAATTAATTTTGAAAGTCTTTCATCTTCAGAGGAAAAAGAAATGCATTCTCTATTCACAGCTCTCTTCCAGGTCAGAGGGATGCCACGCAGCTGTGTCTGCAAAGTGAGGCCTCGTGCTGGAAACACTAACACTTATGACTGACTTCAAGAGCTCACAGGGCAGAAAGACTTTCAGGCTATGAGCTGCAGCCTTGTCATGAAAAGGGGTGGCCACCTGCATTGCCAGCAGTTCTCACTGGCTGGGAGCCAGTATGAGTTTACAAAGCCTGCCCCAGAGAGTTGAGTTTGGACCAATTTATTTTTAATAAATATCGTCAGTGAAACACACTGAATTATTTTAGAAAAATACTAAGTATTTCATTGTTATTAAAATATATCTCCATTTATGTAGCTTTATAGAAAGAAATCTGCAGTTTTTTAAAGCTCCAAATATGTTGAGAGCTGTTCACAGGTAAAGCTGCTGAGGATCTGATCCCTGGCTGCAAAGAAGGGAGGGTCTTATTGTGCCCTCAGGGGAGAACCTCAGCTTGAAAATTAGTTCGGTGCCAGAAAACCCTGCCTTGAGGCAAAACCCTCTTTTATAATCTGTTCACTAACAAAAAAGTGTACTTACACAAATACAGGGAGTGGATGAATTTAATTTGTCATGTTGCCTCTGGGCAGACTAGATCTAACTTTTAGCCTAATTTCGTTACTCGGCACTTAAGTCAACCATCTGATCTTGCACCCTGTGGTCATTACTTGCTGTTAAAGGTGAAAAGTTCACAGCTTCAACAGATTTTCTCCTATGAGTATTTGCTTTGATTCTCCTTCTCCTGAAATTATGGTTTGGCCCAAGCACAGGTAAAAGTCTATGTTTAGAAAGCATGATTGTGTGCTTTGTAAGATTTTTTTTGTCCAGATTTATATCTAAGGCGTCTTAAAAAGTATCCAGACTTCTACCAGCATTACCTGTCTTTATATATCTCCCCTCCTTGCTTCTTTAGGTTCATACATCTCTAACACAATGAGAAACTCAGGCTGTGACTGAGATTCCTGGGTACTCCAGAGAGGTTTGCACTAGGCATAGGTGATTTTTAAACGTTATTCTTTATCTTAAATATAATTCTTTCACAATTGTCCTATCATTTCTTTCCCTCATTAAAACAATTTTTAGTTTTATTGAAAATCTCTCCTCTGCTCCTCCTTTCATGGAATAGACTCTTGGGTAACATGTTAAGTATGTGTTTCTCAGATGAAAGGATTGGCTTAACAGAAAATAAAGGTCAAGGTCACTGACTTTAGCAGTCATGTTCCACTGAATGGGGCAAATATGGCAAAGACTGAGCCTTCTTGGGTTTCTGCAATTTAAGGCTGAAAAGCCTGAACAATTATGGGACCTTTCATCTCTGACTTCCCAGATATCACTGCAGGTTTACCTGCCCAGTAACCAGCTGTGCTTATGAGGCTTGGATTTACCCAGGAGGCTGAAATTAGTGTCATTCCCCACTGTGGCACTGTCCTGCTGCATGACAGGGTGCAGAGCTGCAGCCCCTCCTGGCTCTGTGGCCACCTGCTGTAAAGCCACACAAGCCCATCCTTGCTAAAGCTGCCACTGGACCAGCAGAGTGTTAAAGCACCTGGAATCTTTGGTCTCAGTGCTGGTATAGCAGCTTGCTCTGTGACCACAGAGAAGTGTCCCTGTGAAATTAAATGCCTCCATCCTCTACACCTGGAGAGAAGCTCACCCTTGACACCTGCTCTAAAAATAGTGTCTTGCAATTTTAGTAGCAGAGAGGCTGAGAAATCAAGATATGAATTACAGATCTGGAAGAAAAGTGCCAGGAAATGGAATCAGAGAATAACTGACCAAAATACTGTTGTAGCCACGTAACCTATGTTAGCAAATTAATGCAGAGGGGGAAGAGGAGGAGGCCATTTTCAAGATGTGCCTGAGATAAAACTGAGATCTAAAATAAATCTCCAAATGCAGAACAGGAAAAAATGAGGCACCAAGCAACAGTAAGAGGGGGTGAAGCTGGAGCAGGTACCTGCCTGTATGTCAGCTTTAGGGCTGACAGCAGTGCTTTGGCTCCTGACACCACGGCAGGTGCATGTAAATTGAAACAAGTTCACCTGAGAACTGTGAGGGGGATGAGGAAAGCAGAGACTATATTTTTCAAGCAAGAAGCTATGGAAGACAGTAGTTTGTTTGGCTTCAGAGGGTGAAAGTTTAAATGGATTTGAAGGGAATAAAATCTGGGGAGAGAGAACAAGTATTTGAGAAAAGGGACAGTTTAGGCATTAGGCATGAGATAAAATGGGTAGAAGTTGACCAAGGTATACACTGGCTGCAAAATGGAGTTTGTTTGCTAGTCATAAGAGGCCAGAAGCAGCATGCCAGTGGGACAATCTGACTGATACAGGAGTGAATGACTAATGTGAAGGGGCTATAGGAGATTAAACTTGCACAGCAATGTCTCATTAGATTCCAATTTCTGCTCCATTTAACAGGAATGGAACCAGAACATTATGTTCTTCCCAGTCACAGGCAGGGGTGGTTTTCCCTATGACTTGAACTTGCACAAGATTTGTTCTCAAGAAAGAGTCCTTATTGACTTCAGAGGATGGAGGTGGTGTAGATGGGGAAAGGATTGAGAAAGATCTTAGAGAAAGACTGCCACTGACTCTAGTCAGTGTCATGATCCTGAAAATTTTGAGATTTAATGAGTATCTATAATATGGAAAATCTTTAATCAAAACCATTGCAA